TCACCATCTTTATCATCATCATTATTCAAAAAGTCTTCTTCGCTTAATCACCATCATGAATCCGTAGTTCAGAGGCTAAGTTGCTGTCCCGGAGGCCGACAGCCGTGAGTTCGAACCTCGCGAAGCCAAGAGAGAGAGGGTCGCGTGGAGGCGCTACAGGCAACACTTCTCTTTTCCCTTTGCTTTCTTTTGTCTGATCTCCTTCAACTGTTCCTGAATTTGTTTTCTTTATTCTTTTATTATATTTTTTTTTTCTTTTTTCAATATAATCGTCTTTATAAGGTTTCCATTCATTTCTTGTTTTTTGGAATTACTTCGGAATAACGTGATGTGCTGGCAGGCTTATAGTTTTTATGATTGCAAATTATTGTTTACAAAGCTAATAATAATAATGATTAAGCATTCTGAATTACTAACTACTGTTCTTTTTACTATTTACGTTCGGTATTTTTCATTAAATTCGTTCATCAATAAATCGAATAAAAATAAACCATGTTTTATTATCATTATTATTATCAAGAACGTATATTCCTTACCTAAATGTGTTAATCGATGAACGTGTGAAAACAACCGGCGCCTTAGCTTAGCATCGCCGCCAAACCAATTTCATTCCGTTTATCGAGTGGTAAGTTGGTGTTCATCTGCAGATTCTGTGACCTTTGACCCAGAGACGAGAACGTTCTCTCCCTTCGAAGCTGGAGAATTTTCTCTAAGAGATGCACGCTTACTTCATGAATAATATTTTGGTATAGTTTTCTAACAATAAGTTGGAAAGAAAATGAAAGAGTGGGAGGAGAGAGAAAGAGAGTGAGAGTGTGAGAGAGAGAAAGAGAGTGAGAGTGTGAGAGAGAGAGAGAGAGAGAGAGAAGAGGAGCGAGAAGGGAGGAGAAGACAGACAGACAGAAAGAGAAATGGGGAAGGGAAAAGAAACAGAAAGAGAGAGAAAGAGGAAGGGCGAAATTGAATTGGTAAAGAAAAACATATTGTGTGAGATATTGGCGTTAAATATTCTACAACTTGTGTTCTTGTTTTCTTCAATGCAAGATCGATGAAGCACAACAGTGAACGCACCACGACATGTCACCCTGACCAACCAGGAGTCTCTTAGATTCATTATGATTTTACAGTCTTTTGGACACACACACACACGCACACACACACACACATACACACATAAACACACTCGTGCACACACATTCACATACACGCACACACATACGTCCGCGCGCACACATGTCTAGATTTGTATCTATATTGATCTGTCTCTTATTCATCTACTTGTCTATCCATCTACCTACCAACCTATCTATCTATCTATAAACTTCATTACTTATATCATACAACGAATAACTGCAATAACACTCGAGTTGACAATACAAGTAGTAATCAAAATAATCGCGACTACCACTAGTTTTGACACTAATCAGCACCATGGTATGTATATATGTGTGTGTGTGTGTGTGTGTGTGTGTGTGTGTGTGTGTGTGTGTGTGTGTGTGTGTGTGTGTGTGTGTGTGCGTGTGTGTGTGTGTGTGTGTGTGTGTGTGTGTGTGTGTGTGTGTGTGTGTGTGTGTGTGTGTGTGTGTGTGTGTGTGTGTGTGTGTGTGTGTGTGTCCGTGTCCGTGTGCGTATATTAAGCTACTGACGGTGACCTTGAGGATTCTGACGGCCCTCTCCTCCGCGCCTGGCCGTTCCATTCATATTTTATTACGCGACTGCTCGGTGTGGATTTCTGTGGAATTTCTCCGGTTCTGCGGCGACCAGGTTATTGTGTTTATTTGTTTGGCTTTATGATGTTTTTCTTGACTATAATTTTAATCATGGTATGGATATATGTGTATATTACATGTGTGTGTGCGTGAAATCGAGTGAGAGAGAGAGAGAAATAGATTAATTTAGATAAATAGATAGGTGGTAGATATATAGATAGATAAATAAATGATTTTTTTCTCCAACAGTAATATTTTCGTAGTGTAGTAAGTGCTGTTTAGATTCAGATATCTCGTTACTAAGAAAATATTCGACGAACATATATTGTTTTATGAATTCTCCTGTGTAGATTACAATTCATTGATAACTTATTTATCTCCTTATTCTTCCTATACACATGGGATCATATTGAAGTATACTTTTGACTAATATATGTTATATTCATAGATAATATTATTAACTGATTTCTTTTCAATTTGTATATAATTCTTTGGGTTTTACATACCTATTTCGGATAGAATACCAAGCGCTAATATGTGCCTTTCACTCCGGACTTCCTACTTAGAGAAAAGATATTGAAACGCCAATTTTACCAATCAGGTTTTTTTCCTTTTCCTTTGCATCTGTTTTACTTCCTTCATCCTTTTTCTTTCCCTCTCCACCCTTGACATTTCCCCATTCATTAACAAAGTTATACAGAATTTGATCTGCAAGGTTCAAGGTAAGCTAACCTCAATTGTTGTATTTTGCAATTATCATTGATACAGCTGTTTTAGGTCGAGTTTAAAAC